AAAAACCCCAGGCATTCCTTAATCCGTTTTCATTCATTTCCTCCCAGTTTCACAAACACATCATCACAAACGTGATGTGGTTCCTGTCCCTTTCTCCCTTCCTGATGTGGAAACGGTGATCTGTTTGGCCAACGGGGACCTTGTGCGATTGTTAGATTTCCTTACAGCCTCCAATAAATTTCTCCCAGATGCTCCGGACCATTCACACATTTTAATTAGGAAAATATACAAGAGGCAGCGAGAGGCAGAGGTCAAAGACATCACCGCCGCACCTGCAGTTTCGCCGACAACCCTTCCTGCCCCCCCCTGGTAATTGCGCGGCCCGTTTTGTTCCACGCCAGAAGAACAGAAGCAATCGAACTTCTCGCAAAACGGGAGAGACATTTTAATTACATTAAAGTCAGATTTATGGAGTGGGATAACCCACAGGGACAAAACGGATGCTGTTGATACCATCTCAGTTGATTAGTGGTTTTTGTCCGTGTGTGCATGAATTAACACTGATTGTGAACTCAGGGCAGTAATTAAGCAGGCAAGACCAGAGAAGCAGATGGGATCCTGGTTTTTGGGAAGACCCTGGGAACGATTATTTGGGGGCAGTGTTCCCTCTAAGCCGAGTTAGTGTGAACGCGCTCAAGGTTTTTTAGCCTCCAGCTCACAGATTTTTTCTTTTGCTCGGGAAGGAGGGCTCCAGAGCAAACTGATTTATGCAGCAGCCAAATCGCTCGCTCACAACTTTAATGCCGGTAGCTCACAAAGTAGAATTTTTGTTCACAAGACTCCACAGCTTAGAGGGAACATTGATTTGGGGTTGGCTCGTTTTGAGAACCCTGCAGTCTCAGCAACTGTTAATTGCCTAATGAATGACGAAGAGCAAAGAGGCCGACTTACTTTCTATTTCCTTGAAGAAATAGGATCCCACGACGGAGAAGATGAGGACCGAGATGGGCAAGGCACAGTCCGACAGGATCTCGCGGACTCTGGAGTGCAGGTAGGGGCTGTAACGATTTCAGAAGCACTCTGTCAGGGCAAACATGTAGAGCTACACCATTCTAGACTCTTTGAATTCAGGAACCGGGTACTTAAAGGGGTCTTTCGCGCACACCAAGTGGTTAAGTGCGCGGACTCTAATCTGGGAGAACCGGGTTTGATTCCCCACTCCTCCGCTTGCATCTGGCTGGATGACCTTGGCCAAGCCGTAGTTCTGACAAGAGCTGTTCTTGAAAAAAGAGCAGTTTCTGTCAGAACTCTTCCAGCCCTGCCTGCCTCACAGCCTATCTGTTGTGGGGAGGGGAAGGGAAAGGAGTTTGTAAGCCGCTCTGAGACTCCTTCGGGTAGTGAAGGGCGGGGTATCAATCCAATCTCTTCTTCTTCAGTCACAAGTTGTCTCACAGCTGTTCTCTCAAGAGAAGTTCCTGTCAGAGCTCTCTCAGCCCCACCAACCTCACAGGGTGTCTGTTGTGGGGAGGGGAAGGGAAGGGAGATTGTAAGCTGCTCTAAGACTCCTTCGGGTAGTGAAGGGCGGGGTATAAATCCAATCTCTTCTTCTTCAGTCACAAGTTGTCTCACAGCTGTTCTCTCAAGAGAAGTTCCTGTCAGAGCTCTCTCAGCCCCACCGACCTCACAGGGTGTCTGTTGTGGGGAGGGGAAGGGAAAGGAGATTGTAAGCCGCTCTAAGACTCCTTCGGGTAGTGAAGGGCGGGGTATAAATCCAATCTCTTCTTCAAATACTTTTGGGAAGAGGCGGGTGGGGTGGGGGCTTTAAGGAGCGAGGGGCCCTTTAGGGAATAGTCCCAATAGCTACGGGGTAGCTTTTAACTGACCCCCCCCCACCATAAGCTGCTTTGGGGACAATATCCAGAGCGGCAGGTGGTAAACTGCCTAATCCGCGCCGCCTACCTTTTCTTGAACTGGTAGAGCGTGTGGCCGAGCCAGAGGGTGCCCAGCGTCAGCATGAGGCTGAGGACGGCCGTCTCGCGCCCGTGGTGGATGGCGGCAGGGTGGACGTCGGTCTGGTTCCCTGATACCGAGTGGTCCATCGACGAATTCGATAAGGTCGTGGCGTTGGCACTGACGTCCAAATAATACTTTTCAAAAACTGGGGGGGGGGAGGGAAGAGGGGGGTGAGACAATGAAGAACTTGCAAAAAGACGTTGTTGACACCTGTTCTCTCTGGGGCTCCGTTCGGTTTTCTTCCACGCAGCAGCCCGGTCCTCACCAGTGTTCCCTCTAAGCTGAGTTAGTGTGAGCTAGCTCACCGTTTTTTAGCCTCCGGCTCACACATTTTTGTCTCAGCTCAGGAAGGAGGGGCTCCAGAGCAAACTGATTTGTGCAGCAGCCAAACTGCTCCCTCACCACTTTAATGCCAGTAACTCACAAAGTAGAATTTTTGCTCACAGGACTCCACAGCTTAGAGGGAGTCTAACCAATGCTCCCTCTAAGGTGTGGAGTCTTGTGAGCAGAAATCCTGCTTTGGGAGCGACCGGCATTGAAGTTGTGAGCGAGCGGTTTGGCTGCTGCATCAATTAGTTTGCTCTGGGCTAAGACAAAAATGTGCGAGCCGGAGGCTAAAAAAGGGTGAGCTGGCTCACACTAACTCAGCTTAGAGGGAACACTGGGACTCCCCGATCTTTTTGAGCCTGCAGGCACCTTTGGAATTCGGACAAAATGGCCGCCGCAACTTCCCTTCAGTCACACAGTTAAGATCCGTGCGCTGTGGAGGCAGCTCATATCTAAGTAACGTTATAAAAAAAATCTGAGCAGTCAATCAAATCTCCGGGGGCCAATTAGAAGCCTGGATGGGCTATGACCCACCCACTTTCTAAAACTCTCAGTGGGTGCCCCATGCTGGGGAAGAGAGTGTTGACCAACGCTCCCTCTAAGCTGTGGAGTCTTGTGAGCAAAGATTCCGCGTTGTGAACTACTGGCATTAAAGTTGTGAGTGAGCCATTTGGCTACTGCATCAATCAGTTTGCTCTGGAGCCCTCCTTCCTGAGCGGAGACAGAAATGGAGGCGCCGGAGGCTAAGAAACTGTGAGCTAGCTCACACTAACTCAGCTTAGAGGGAACACTGACTCCTAACCACCTTGACTTGGGAGTAAGTCCGACTGACACCCAGCAAGCCGGGACTTGCCCTGAAACCTAGACAAGAATGGCACTGCAGGATGCAAAGTCAAAGTCAAATACCTTTTATTGGCATACAATATTAAAATAAACATTTCCCCAGTATTAATACAATCCTGTAGACATTATAAAATGGATAATCGTGGTAAACCATTCCGAGGATATGCCAGGCCTATAACATACCTCAAGTTGTCACAATAGATTTGACCATACAGAAGATAGCTGAGTCGTACAATAAATTGAAATCTAAACTTATAAACTTGAGGGTTTTTTTTAAATTATAAATTAAGAATCATTCATATGCTCAGAGTCATTCTTCCATTTTATAAAACCATGAGGAAACTTAGCGGTCAGTTCAATGACCTCCGGGTCTCGTGAGGCAAGGAGATAATGTACCTTGTTTCTATCCGGTTGGCCTACTACCAACCTAAGGGGGGCTTCTATAAATTCCACTCGAATGTCATTTAACAATTTACAGTGTAAGAGTACGTGCTCAACCGTTTCTATTTCTCTTCTATTACATCCACAAAACCTGACTGAATAAGGGATTTTCTTATATCTCCCCTCAAGAATAGCGGAGGGGAGAACGTTAAAACGGGCCAACAGATAAGCTCTACACATCTGCGGTGAAGTCAGGCAGAAAAGGTAATATGGTAGAACACCAGAAAGGGGATAGGCCCATCTTACTGGGGAGCACCTTCCGGAGGCCCGCTACCGACTCACTCCTACTGCAGCTGCCATAAGTTTGAAGAGGACTCCAACGCCCCTACCCTTCTGCCTCAGCCCACAGGCACCATGGTGTATGCGAACACTTCCCCTGGTGCCCAATGCTCCCTCTCATCTGCAGAGTTTTGAGAGCAAAGATTCTTCTCTGTGAGCTACGGACATTAAAGTTGTGAGCGAGGGATTTGGCTGCTGCATCAATCAGTTTGCTCTGGAGCCCCTCCTTCCTGACCTGAGACAGAAATGTGTGAGCCAGAGGCTAAGAAACTGTGAGCTAGCTCGCACCAGCTCAGCTTAGAGGGAACACAGCTGGTGCCTGCCAAGTGCTTTTTGAAGAAGATTTTTTTTAACAAATAAATTGATTATAGAGCTCATTAAGAAGAAGAGGAAGAGGAGGAGGAGGAGAAGAAGGAGGAGGAGGAGATTGGATTTATACACTGTCCTTCACTACCTGAAGAGTGGCTTACAATCTCCTTCCCCTCCCCACAACAGACACCCTGTGAGGTAGGTGGGGCCGAGAGAGCTCTTTCGAGGAGGACTTCTGAGAGAACTGTGGCTTGCCCAAGGTCACACCAGCAGCTACGTGCAAAGGAGCGGGGAATCAAACCCGGTTCTCCCAAATTAGAGTCTGCGATCCAAACCACTACACCAAACTGGGACCTATTGGCCACTGGAGATTCTATTGGCTGAGTGGATTTTAAAAAAACAACAACACTGCTTTGGCAGCAGCTGCCACCACAGTAGGATTTTCATGGCGTGACTGAAGGTAAGCTGCGGCAGCCATTTTGTGGCTGGCTCCACCTCTTACAGCAGCCATTTTGTGGTAGCGCCCACCGCATGGTGTCGGAGTTCCAAAAAATGTCCCCAGCAATGCTCCCGCTAAGCTGTGGAGTCTTGTGAGCAAAAATTCTACTTTGTGAGCTACCAGCATTAACGTTGTGGGCAAGCGATTTGGCTGCTGCACAAAATAGTTGGCTCTGGAGCCCTCCTTCCTGAGCGAAGACAAAAATGTGTGAGCCAGAGGCTAAAAAACTGTGAGCCGGCTCACACTAACTCAGCTTAGAGGGAACACTGGTCCCCAGGTTCAAAGAGGCGTCAGGCGGGCCTCCCTGCCGATCCTGGCAAGTCCCCCCTCCCCTGTGGAATGCCCGGAGGGACCTGGCGATCCTAACAGGAGCCCCAAACCGAGGGCGCCCCGCACCTGCTATTCGCCACTGAAATTTATTTATTTATTTATTATTTTTGATTTATAACCCGCCTTTCCTGCGCAGGAAATTTACACTGCGTAATCTGCCTCAAGTCTCAGGGAGCAGAGGACCACAGAGGAAATAAACACATTTGAAACAACGGCAATGGTGATTTTAAGGTTGGCCCTCCCAACGCAGGCCGAAACGTTTTAAGCCTCACGTGTCGGGAGGCTGGCTCTGGGCTGGGAAATATATAGAGATTTTGGGGGGTGGAGCCTGGGGAGGGCGGGGTTTGGGGAGGGGCCTCAGCAATACCATAGAGTCCGCCCTCCAACACAGCCATTTTCTCTAGGGGAACTGATCTCTATTGTCTGGTGACCCGGCCCCACCCATGTCTTAGCAGCATTTGGCGGGCACCAGGAAAGGTGTCGACAGACCCCATCGTGCCCACGGGCACCACGTCGGGGGCCCCAGATCTACAGGAATGCATACATTTTTATTTAGTTGTTGGTTTGTTTGATTTATATCCCGCCCTTCCCACCAAGGTGGGCTCAGGGCGCCTTACATAAAATGCACATATAAATACAATTGAAAACACCCACAAGCAATCAGTATCTATTTTCGAAAGTGCCGGAAACAATTAAAGTGCAGAGCAGAGATTCCTAAATCCACCGCACCACTACTTAGGTGTTGGTCCTGGTGGTATTCTCAAATTGGCTCAAATTTGATCGAGTAGGTAGTACCCTGTTTCCCCGAAAATAAGACCTACCCAAAATATAAGCCCTAGCAGGATTTCTATGCATTTGTGGTATAAGCCCTAGTGTGTCTTCTTGAGAAAAAATAAATATAAGACAGTGTCTTATTTTCGGGGAAACACGGTAGAGACATCACCCTGCCAACAAAAGTCCGCATGGTCAAAGCAATGGTATTCCCAGTAGTCATGTATGGCTGCGAGAGTTGGACTATAAGGAAGGCCGAGCGCCGAAGAATAGATTCTTTTGAACTATGGTGCTGGAGAAGACTCTTGAGAGTCCCGTGGACTGCAAGGAGATCAAATCAGTCAACCCTAAAAGAAATCAACCCTGACTGTTCCCTGGAAGGCCAGATAATGAAACTGAAGCTCAAATACTTTGGCCACCCAATGAGAAGGGAGCACTCACTGGAGAAGAAGACCCTGATGCTGGGAAAGATTGAAGGTCAAAGAAGAGGGGGACGGCAAAGGATGAGATGGTTAGGCAGTGTCATAGATGCAACCAACATGAAGTTGATCCAACTTCAGAGGACGGCGGAAGACAGGAGGGCCTGGCGAGATCTTGTCCATGGGGTTGCAAAGAGTCGGACTCGACTGTGCGACTGAACAACAACAAGTTTATGCAGCGCAACAGACTGAGGGTGGTTACAGGGAAGGAAGAAAGCCATCCATTCCCAAAGCAGCAGTGATTAGGGAAGATGCTAAGGAAAGAAACACCTGTGGCAACTGACTGTTTGACTGTGGCAACAGGAACAGTTCCCTGTCAGTTTAACTATCCTCTGAACCTCTTCCCCTGAGTCTGAACTCTTCAAAACACTCTTATATGCCATCTTATAACAACTAACTATTTATTATGTAGCACTTTATAAATTATGGAGCTGCAGTGGCTCAAGTGGTTAAGATGCTGAACTGCAGGCTGTGGAAGGTCGGCAGTTCAGCAGTTCGAGACCCGAGTGTGCCGCATGACGGAGTGAGCTCCCGTCTCTAGTCCCAGCTCCTGCCAACCTAGCAGTTCGAAAGCAAGAAATTGCAAGTAGATAAATAGGTACCACTTCGGTGGGAAGGTAACAGCGTTCCGTGCGCCTCGGTGTTTAGTCATGCCGGCCACATGACCACGGAAACGTCTTCGGACAGTGCTGGCTCTTCGGTTTGGAAACGGAGATGAGCACCGCAACCCTAGAGTCGACTGGCTTTCGAGCAAGGGAACCTTTACCTTTACGTTATAAATTATGAATTATTTTTGGTTTTATCAAGACGACCGACAGCTACCTAGCGATCCTACGGCCCGGATTTAGTGCTGACAGTTCAGCTGCCGCCGATTTAGTAATTCGGGTGGCTGCAGAACCAGAAGAGCAGCTGCCCGAATCCCTTTGCTCAAACGCATTTGAAAGAGAGAGCCCTGTAAATCCCGCAGGCAGCAGCGTCCCCTAACTAAGGCAGGCCCCGACTGGGGGGGCGGGGTCATCTGAGTCCCCACTTGATCCCCCGCGCTTTCCTTGTTTGCTCCAGCTGCCGTTTCCTCTAAAGTGCAGAAGTCAAGATCAAACGGGAGTGCCGCTGAGGTGGCTTGGACCGCGGCTTTGGAAAACAAAAGTGTCATTCATCTGCTGAAAAGAATGTGCGGCCTGAACTCCCCCACCCACCCAATCACCGGGCGATAGCACCCCCTCCCTCCCTCTTTTCCTGCGTAGCTGGCCGGTGCGACCCGGGCTTTCGGAATTCGGAGAAACGTTCGGCTGATCATCCCTTTGGAAGGAAACGGGACCATCTGCAGGGACGGAAAAGAGCACACACACCCCTCTCCAAAGTCACAGTTCGAGCTACTGAGCTGCAAAAATAATTCGGCAGGGAAGAGCTGAGCCAAGTGATTTGAGTGCGCTTCTGTGGACGCGATGGGGGGAAAACAGAAGGGCAAAGCGTGTGCTTATTACTATCGTTGTTGTTGTTATTATTCCGGCAAGCGTTTTAATAGCCCACACTGATCGTTCTAGCACTTTAGAACAGATGGCTGCCACGCATAAACTGTAATTTTAATTCTAATAAGTTATATTTGGATATTTTACTGATTGTATTCTTTTAGAGATTGTATTAATTCTTATACTGGTTTTTAAACTATTGTAAGCCGCCCTAAGCCGCCTCGGTGGGAGGGCGGGGTAAAAGTCCAATAAATAAATAAATAATAATAATAATAATAATTATTATTATTATTATTAATAATAATAATAGGTAAATTAGGAACCATTAGTCTTCGCTGTTATGAGAACGTCATGGATACTGTTTAGGCGGTACCTTCTACTACAACGCCAAATTCTCCACTTGAGTACCAAACAATCCACATCAGCTGTCTCTAAAGATCTCGGTGCGAAGAAGAAGAGAGGAGAGGAGATTGGATTTATACCCTGCCGCTCACTACCCAAAGGAGTCTCAGAGCGGCTTCCAATCTCCTTCCTTTCCTCTCCCCACAACAGACACCCTGTGAGCAGTGTTCCCTCTAAGCTGAGTTAGTGTGAGCTAACTCACAGTTTTTTAGCCTCCGGCTCACACATTTTTATCTCAGTTCTGGAAGCAGGGCTCCAGAGCAAATGAATTTATGCAGCAGCCAAATCGCTCATGCACAATTTGAATGCCAGGAGCTCACAAAGTAGAATTTTTGCTCACAAGACTCCACAGCTTAGCGGGAGCATTGCCTGTGAGGCTGGTGGGGCTGAGAGCTCTTTCAAGGACTGCTCTTGAGAGAACATAAGAACATAAGAGCCAGTTTGGTGTAGTGGTTAAGTGTGCGGACTCTAATCTGGGAGAACCGGGTTTGATTCCCCGCTCCTCCACTTGCACCTGCTGATGTGACCTTGGATCAGTCACAAGTTCTCTCAGAGGACAGCGGAAGACAGGAGGGCCTGGCGGGAGCTGGTCCATGGGGTCGCGAAGAGTCGGACTCGACTGTGCGACTGAACAACAACAACAAATAAATCAGTTTGCTCTGGAGCCACCCTTCCTGAGCGAAGGGAAAAATGTGTGAGCCGGAGGCTAAAAAACTGTGAGCTAGCTCACACTAACTCAGCTTAGAGGGAACACTGGACTCTGCTTCACTCTAAGGCAGCTTCATGTGGGTGCCAGCCAATCCCCAGGGGTGTTACCGGACAGCAAGCTGCCTGGCGTGCCTCTGGTTGGCATGCGGGCTGTGGTTTACGTGCAGATACTGACACTCCATGCAACGTTTCTTGAAAAATGTGCAAAGGACGGTGTCCTTTGGATACAGGCCCCAGCTGTGTGGAAACTGCTTGGGCACGATGTACTCCTGTCAAGGCGGGGTCTCGTGCGTGAATTATGCAGTCGTGCATGCAGGGCTAACAGCGGAGGTGTTTCTGCTGAGTCCCTATCTAATGGGAACGGGAAGATTCATGCAAATGACTCTGCTCACACGATTGTGTCATTCCCTTTCCATTACTCCCTGTTCTGAAATCAGGCAGCCTTCAGGAAGAAGGAGAAGGAGGAGAAGAAGAGGAGGAGGAGGAGGAGGAGGCGGAGGAGGAGGATGAGAAGAAGCGGAGGAGATTGGATTTATACCCCGCCCTTCACTCGGAGTCTCAGAGTGGCTCACAATCTCCTTTCCTGTCCCCCTCCCCACAACAGTCAACCTGTGAGGTAGGTGGGGCTGATACAGCTCTCCTGAGAACTGCCCTTGAGAGAACAGCTGTGAAATAACTTGCGACTGACCCAAAGTCACCCAGCTGGGTGCACGTGGAAGAGTGGGGCATCAAACCCGGTTCTCCCAGAGTAGAGTCCGTGCACTTAACCACTACACCAAACGGGCTCTCGGAGAAGGTGGAACAACAGAGACGCCTAACCTGTGTCACCTGCAACTCAGCCTTTGACAGCCAAGCGTGTTGGAGGGACTAAAGTCCCTCTGTCCCAAAGCCTTCGCATGCCACCTTCTATAGGCACAGCCTTTGCACAGAAAAGAAATCAAATACTGCAACTGTTTTGAATAGGAAACTGTAAAGAGGCATTTCAGCTTTGCCAGGTGACTTACTTTTAACGATGCCTTTCACCGCATCGAGCACAAACGTGACGGATATAAAAAGCGCAATTATTTCTTCTGTGGACCTGCAAAGAAATCCATATTCATTATTGCTGTCAGCTCCAAGCTCTGAGTTGTCTCAACATTCTGGATACATAAAATGCACAGAAAACGATGAAAGGGAGGGCCCCCATCCGCGGCACAGAAGACCTCGATGGGCAGACCCACGGAGGTGCAAACTGTAAGTTAACAGAGGATTTACACCAAACATCGGAATACAGTCATCAAGAGATATTAGACAACCGGTCAACAGACAAAACACTGCCATTCCCTTTCTTCCGCAGAAGGGCGTTTGCGTTTATTTATTTATATCCTGATTTTGCTTCTCAGCTGGGACTCAAAAGGGATCACAACACTGTCCTCCCCCTCCTCCATTTCCTCACAACAACCCTGTGAAGTAGGCCGGGCCCAGAGTTTGTGACGGGCCCAGTGAGCTTCCATGGTAGAAATGGTGCTGGGGCATGATTCAGAGATCATGGTCAACCAGTTGGTGGCCCGCTCCCTCAAAGACTTCTGCTGCAAACTTCTCTTCAAACCAGGATTAATCCAGATTTTAGAATTCTACTTGGGGGGGGGGGGACAGCAAACCATTTTTGACCATTTGGGAAGAAGAAGAAGAGGAGGAGGAGGAGGAGGAGGAGGAGGAAGAGGAGATTGGATTTATACCCCACCCTTCACTCAGAGTCTCAGAGCGGCTTACAAACTCCGTTCCCTTCCCCTCCCCACAACAGACACCCTGGGAGGTAGGTGGGGCTGAGAGAGCTCTTTCCAGAACTGCACATTCAAGGACAGCTCTTGTCAGAACTATGGCTTGCCCAAGGTCATCCAGCAGCTGCAAATGCAGGAGTGGGGAATCAAACCCGGTTCTCCCAGATTAGAGTCCGCACACTTAACCACTACATCAAACTGACAAACGACGGTTTGCTATCGAAGTGCTAAATTTTTAGTGCTGTGTGCCATGGTAGAGAGGAGTGAATGAACCAGCTAGAAGGTTCCCCAAGATTCTCCACGTGATAACAAAGGAAAAAAGGGGGGTTGTAATTTGGCTTGCGTGATGCCACCGTCCTCAAACGCAATTTGTTTTTAGGTAGGAACTCATTGGGAATCATCTATGAAATTACTTGGCTTTCTCCACTGCATACCAGACATGGAAAAGTTAATCACCACCCTTTCAACTGCAGTTTCTATGTCCTTTCTATAAAAAGGCCTCCAGAACTGGACACTAAGGGTGTGCAAAAAAGGAAGAAGAAAAAAGGCATTTTTCTGAATCCGAAAAATATCGGTATTTCCCAATATCCGGGACTGCCAAATTTATTCAGCTCCATTATACCCTAGGGGGACTGTCCCCATAGGGTATAATGGAGAAGGGATTTAAACGTTAAATGCTTGCTCTGTTCACTCGCCGAGTCGTTCCGCAAGCATTTAAAGAGACCGCAGTCTCTTTAAATACCTTCTAGCTGCACCTGAATAAAAGCCAATTAATATCAGCCTTTATTCAGACTGGGCTATTTTGGTAACCGAATGGCTGAACAAATACATGAAAAATACCTGTAGTATTTATTCGGCTCGGTATATACTGAGTGCACACCCCTACTGGACACAACATTCCCAATGGGGTCTGACCAATGCAGTACTATCACATCTGATGTCCTAGACACTATGTGCCTGTTAATACAGATCTGCATGAGCAAGCAAAGAAGAGAAGAAGAAGAGATTGGATTTATACCCCGCCCTTCACTTGGAGTCAATTCTGACTGTTTCCTGGAAGGCCAGAGACTGCAGCTGAAGCTCAAATACTCTGGCCACCAAATGAGAAGAGAGCGCTCACTGGAGAAGCCCCTGATGCTGGGAAAGATTAAAGGTTGAAGAAGAAGGAAGAAGGAAGAAGGAGGAGGAGGCAGAAGAAAGAGGAAGAAGAAGAGAAGGAGGAGGAGATTGGATTTATCCTCCGCCCTTCACCACCCAAAGGGGTCTCAGAGCGGCTTACAACCTCCTTTCCCTTCCCCTCCCCACAACAGACACCCTGCGAGGTAGGTGGGGCCAAGAGAGCACTTTCGAGGACTGCTCATGAGAGAACAGCTCTGACAGAACTATGGCTTGCCCAAGGTCATCCAGCAGCTGCAAGTGGAGGAGTGGGGAATCCCAGATTAGACGCCACGCACTTAACCACGACACGAAACTGGCTCTCAGACCCTACCTCACAAAAGCTTCTGTCGGCCATAAGCGTATTAAATCATTAAGGTGCTGACGGATGTTTGATCATTCTGCCTGAAGCGGCTTAACGGTGGCGACCCTTCAGAACCCTCGGATTGTGCGCCAAACCCGACCATCTCCCTGCTCCCGGGCACATGGCCCCAAACCTATCTGCCCAGGCTGTGATGTGTTGAGAGGCCATCAAGTTTCCACTTTATGGCTGCTCAAGGAATTGCAAAAAAAAAGGGGGGGGGAGGGAAGGGAAAACAAAATAGGTAACGTTACCTTTTAAAGAGCTTCATGAGAAGACTGCAATTGAAGAGGGAGTAAAGCAAGAGGAAGAAACTATTCCAGAGGCCGATGCAGGCGTAGAACGCACCGAAATCCAGCTGGTAGTCGTCACAGATTCCTTGGATCACTGAAAGCAAATGACCAGATTTCACTTTATTCAATTAAAGCCGTCATTAGCTGCCCTTTCTTCCTTATGCAGCTCGAGGCAGCTGATGACACAAATAAAATACACAAAACGGCGCACATAAAAAATACGCAAGGTCAAAATTTAAAATCACAATTTTGGACTCTCGAGAGCCCCTTGGACTGCAAGGAGATCGAATCAGTCCATCCAAAAAGAAATCAACCCTGACTGTTCCCCTGGAAGGCCAGAGACTGAAGCTGAAGCTCAAATACTTTGGCCACCAAATGAGAAGGGAGCACTCACTGGAGAAGAAGACCCTGATGCTGGGAAAGTGTTGGGTGTTACAAGTTAAAACACTTTTCAGTATTTACTGGGTTAATGATGTTTGTTAAGTCACATGTTTGTTTGTATCCAATCTGTTTTAGACAATTAGAAAGTCCGGCAATTTCAAAGCTAGTTTGTCGTTCTGATTGGAGACCAAAGTGCCAAGTATTAGCATTTTATGGCTTCTCTTCCCGTCTTGTGGTTCTTTGATCTGAGCAAGAAGAAGAAGCCTCTCTTCTGCCATGTTCAGTCTAGCTGTAAGGATGTAGGCATATTAGCTCTTTTTATTTTACATTCCGTGTACCTTTTCCCCATGCTAGGCTGTAGTAAACGTTTATTCTTTTAAACACACCATGGACTCTGCCTCTTTAATACTCTGCTGATTCACTTTAAAATTAAGAATACCTAACAGAAAGACTGAAGGTGAAAAGTAGAAGGGGACGGCAAAGGATGAGATGGTCGGACAGTGTTATCAAGGCAACAAACACGAAGTTGAGCAAACTCCAGAGGATGGCAGAGGACAGGAGGGCCTGGCGTGAGGTGGTCCAGGGGGCTGCGGAGAGCCGGACTCGGCTGCGCGACCGAACAACAACAAAAATCAAGCGCCGTCCTAAATAAAACCGTCCTCCGCTGCCTCCTGGAGACTGAAAGCGAGGGGACTGGAGACTGAAAGCAAGGGGGCCGGGCGCACCGCACTGGGGAGGTTGTGGGGCTGCCAATAGAAAGGCCCCGTCTCATGTACCCATCAAACAAACTACTTTGATGGATGGGACAGTCGGGAGAACCTCTCTCTGTGTTCTTAATTCCCCCGGGGCAGGAACACATGGGAGAAGACGGTCCGTCAGAGACCTTAATCCCAAGGCAGGTATTTATTTATTTATTTATTTATTTGGATGTCTACTCTGCTCTCCCCGCCACAGCAGGCTCAGGGCGGCTCACATAATAAAAGCACAATAACAATAAGGTAAAGGAGAGACGACGACTGAGGGGTGACATGATTGAGGTTTATAAGATTATGCATGGGAAAGAGCAGGTAGAGAAAGAGGTACTTTTCTCCCTTTCTCACAATACAAGAACTTGTGGGCACTCCATGAAATTGCTGAGCAGTCGGGTTAGAACGGATAAAAGGAAGTACTTCTTCACCCAAAGAGTGATTCACACATGGAATTCACTGCCACAGGAAGTGGTGGCGGCTACAAGCATGGACGGCTTCAAAAGGGAATTAGATAAGCACAAGAGGGGGACCCGCGATACTCGCGGGGGTGGGGAGAAGAGCTCCGTCTCCTCTCCCCCCCGCTC